ATCCCGGATTGATCAGGGCGCTCATTAACGGTTATTAACGATCTAATTAGCGCTAATTAAGGTTGCTGATGAACAAATTAAGGCTAATTAGTGGTAATTAAGGGTGGAGAAGAGGCTGGGGGGGTGCGTGGGGATTTATTGATCACCAATCATTTATCGATCCCGTATCAGAATCGATCCGCGATTGATCGGGGTGATTATTAACTGCTATTAATGACCCAATTAGCGCTAATTAACACTTCTAATCAACGAATTAAGGCTAATTAGGGGTAAATAAGAGCGGAGAAGTGCCTGGGGGGGTGCGTGGGGCGTTATTGATCACCCATAACTCATCGATCCCGTATCAGAATCGATCCGCGATCGCCATCACCGCCTATTACCCATCCAATTAACGCTAATTAACGCTAATTACCGCTAATTCCGCCTCTCCTCAGGCTGGAGAACTGCCAGTGGGAGGAGTGGGGCTCGCAGGTGTCGGTGGTGCCGCGGGACATGCGGGGCTGGGCGGCCCCCGAGCCCGCGGACCTGGTGGTGTCGGAGCTGCTGGGCTCCTTCGGGGACAACGAGCTGAGCCCCGAGTGCCTGGACGGGGCCCGAGGGTGCCTGAAAGGTCAGGGGTTAATTAGGGTTAATTAGAAATTAATTAGGAAAAATTTAAATGAAATCGCGTTGAAATTTGGGCGAAAATTGGGCGAAAATCGGTGAAAAAACGGGAAAAAAATGGGAAAAAATGGGAAAAAAAATGGGAAAAATGAGCTGAGCCCCGAGTGCCTGGACGGGGCCCGGGGCTGCCTGAAAGGTCAGGGAATTAATTAGGGTTAATTAGAAATTAATTAGGAAAAATTTCGAATGGATTTGGTTGAAAATTGGGCGAAAATCGGCGAAAAAACGGGAAAAAAATGGGAAAAAATGGGAAAAAAAATGGGAAAAATGAGCTGAGCCCCGAGTGCCTGGACGGGGCCAGAGGGTGCCTGAAAGGTCGGGGAATTAATTAGGGTTAATTAGGAAATTAATTAAAAAAATGTAAATTAAATTGCGTTGAAAATTGGACGAAAATCGGTGAAAAAACGGGAAAAAAATGGGAAAAAATGGGAAAAAAAATGGGAAAAAAGAGCTGAGCCCCGAGTGCCTGGACGGGGCCCGGGGCTGCCTGAAAGGTCAGGGGATTAATTAGGGTTAATTAGAAATTAATTAGGAAAAATTTAAATGAAATCGCGTTGAAAATTGGGTGAAAATCGGTGAAAAAATGAACAAAAAACGGAAAAAAAATCGAAAAATGAGCGGAGCCCCGAGTGCCTGGACGGGGCCCGGGGGTGCCTGAAAGGTCGGGGGATTAATTAGGGTTAATTAGAAATTAATTAGGAAAAATTTAAATGAAATCGCGTTGAAAATTGGGCGAAAATCGGCGAAAAAATGGGAAAAAAAATGGGAAAAAATCACCAAAAAAAGGGGAAAAATGAGCTGAGCCCCGAGTGCCTGGACGGGGCCAGGGGGTGCCTGAAAGGTCGGGGGTTAATTAGGGTTAATTAGAAATTAATTAAAAAAATTTAAATGAAATTGTGTTGAAAATTGGGCGAAAATTGGGCGAAAATCGGCGAAAAAATGGGAAAAAAACACCAAAAAAAGGGGAAAAATGAGCTGAGCCCCGAGTGCCTGGACGGGGCCCGGGGGTGCCTGAAAGGTCAGGGGATTAATTAGGGTTAATTAGAAATTAATTAGAAAAAATTTAAATGAAATCGCGTTGAAAATTGGGCGAAAATCGGTGAAAAAATGGGAAAAAAATGGGAAAAAATGGGAAAAAAATGGGAAAAATGAGCTGAGCCCCGAGTGCCTGGACGGGGCCAGAGGGTGCCTGAAAGGTCAGGAAATTAATTAGGGTTAATTAGGAAATTAATTAGGAAAATTTAAATGAAATCGCGTTGAAAATTGGGCGAAAATCGGTGAAAAAATGGGAAAAAAATGGGAAAAAAGGGGAAAAATGAGCTGAGCCCCGAGTGCCTGGACGGGACTAAAAGGTGTCTGAAAGGTCAGGGATTAATTAGTGTTAATTAGGAAATTAATTAGAATAATTTAAATGAAAATTGGGGAGAAATTGGGGAAAAAATCGGCGAAAAAATGGGAAAAAAAATGGAAAAAAAAGGGAAAAAAAAGGGAAAAAAAATGGGAAAAATGAGCTGAGCCCCGAATGCCTGGATGGGACTAAAGGGTGTCTGAAAGGTCGGGGATTAATTAGGGTTAATTAGAAATTAATTAGGAAAAATCGGGAATGGATTTGGTTGAAAATTGGGCGAAAATCGGTGAAAAATCGGCGAAAAAATGAACAAAAAACTGAAAAAAAATCGAAAAATGAGCTGAGCCCCGAGTGCCTGGACGGGGCCCGAGGGTGCCTGAAAGGTCGGGGGATTAATTAGGGTTAATTAGGAAATTAATTAGAAAAAATCGGGAATGGATTTGGTTGAAAATTGGGCGAAAATTGGACGAAAATCGGTGAAAAAATGGGAAAAAAATGGGAAAAATGAGCTGAGCCCCGAGTGCCTGGATGGGACTAAAGAGTGTCTGAAAGGTCGGGAATTAATTAGGGTTAATTAGAAATTAATTAGGAAAAATTTAAATGAAATTGCGTTGAAAATTGGGCGAAAATTGGGCGAAAATCGGTGAAAAAATGGGAAAAAAACACCAAAAAAAGGGGAAAAATGAGCTGAGCCCCGAGTGCCTGGATGGGACTAAAAGGTGCCTGAAAGGTCGGGAATTAATTAGTGTCAATTAGGAAATTAATTAAAATAATGTAAATTAAATTGCGTTGAAAATTGGGCGAAAATCGGTGAAAAAATGGGAAAAAAACGGGAAATTTTGGGTGGAAAATGGGAATTTTATGGAAGAAAAATGGTAATTTTGAGGTGAAAAAAATGGGAATTTTTGGGTTAAAATTGAGAATTTTTGGGTTAAAAATGGGAATTTTTAGGTGGAAAAAGGAGAAAATTTTGGGATGAAAAATGGGAATTTTTGGCAGGAAAATGGGAATTTTTAGGGGAAAAAAATGAGAAATTTTGGCAGGAAAATGGGAATTTTTTGGGGAAAAAAAAGAGAAATTTTGGGGTGGAGAATGGGAATTTTTAGGGGGGAAAATGGGAAATTTTTGGGGTGGAAAAAGGGAATTTTTTGGGGCAGAAAAATTGGAATTTTTGGAGTTGAAAAATGGGAATTTTTGGCAGGAAAAATGGGAATTTTTTTGGGAGAAATGGAAATTTTTAGGTGGAAAAATGGGAATTTTATGGGTGGAAAATGGGAATTTTTGTGGGGAAAAATAGGATTTTTTAGGGGGAAAATTGAGAATTTTTGGGGTTGAAAAATGTGAATTTTTGGGTGGAAAAATGGGAATTTTGGGAGGAAAAAAAGGGAATTTTTATGGTTGAAAAACGCGAATTTCAATTTGAAAAATTCTCATTTTCCAATGGGAAAAAACCCAAATTTTGCTGCGAAACGCCTGAAGCTCCCTGAATTAATTCTTAATAATCGAAATTTCGGTTTTAATTAATTTAATTTTAATTTTTTAATTTAATTTTAATTTTTTTTAATTTTTAGCTGACGGGGTTTCCATCCCCCAATCCTACACTTCTTTCCTGGCTCCCGTTTCCTCTTCCAAACTTTACAACGAAGTCCGGGGGTGTCGGGAGCACGACAGGCACCCCGAGGTTTGGGGGAAAAAAAGGAGATTTTGGGAAAAAAAAATGAAAAATTTGAAAAAAAAAATTAAGATTTTTGGGGGAAAAAATAAAAAAAACGGGAAAAAAATGGGTTTTTTTGGGGAAAAAGGGCGAAAAA